GAAGAGCTAACCCCAACTGCTGAGTTGTCAGGAAAATGCTTTTACTCGCTGAAGTTGCAAGTCTCTGTGGGCCGGCTGCCTGCTTTCGCTTCCGCAGACTTTGAGGCAACACCTATAGCGCATTAAATCTTGACCGGTCATCCGTGTTAAAGATTTGGAAGTTGTGTCTTAAGGAAAACTGGAACGCATAGTATGTTGTAATGAAAAAGTAAAATTGTCAGAGAAGGTCTTCTGAATGCTGCCCTTAGTACTGCTGGCATTTCAGCTTGTTTTATAAAGAATTTGATTACCTGATTGATCAACAGCAGCTCAGGCATCCTCCACACAGTCATAGGGGAACCACCATCAGAGAAACGATATAAGTACCTTGGCAAACACATAGAGATGATTTTGTGAGAAGGTTTATTTGTTTGCTGTCCTGTTCACCATTCTCTGTCTTGAAGGGCTGAGTGATGTAGCCTGTAGCAAAACTTACAGGGCTGTCAAAAAGGAGAGTTACATTTTAAAGTATAGTGATGCAAGGTGACATTCAGAATAACAGCTAATGGGGAGTTACACAGCCTGGAAGCTTTCATCTCATCTGCACCAGATTTCCCTTGAGTCCCTCGGCAAGGGGCCCAGTGCCGGGCCATGGACAGTACCAGGTGCAGCACACACGGAGTGAGACACGGTGTGAGACCTCTGGGGGCAACTGTGTCAGGGCAGGAAAGACCAGATTGCATTCAGCTTGCGATGCTCTCAGCTCCCACCAAGACCCTGGTATTTATGGATGTTATCATTGCATCCAGCTCCCAACCTAGCCACCACGCTGTTTGTCAGTGCTTGCATCCTAGTGAACAGGAGAGGAGGGGGGAGAAGCTGCGTTCAACCTCTCAGCAGATTATGAACAGCACCTTGCAGGCCCAGAGGCTTAATTTGGAAGGAACAGCGATCTCCACATTTTTGTGGCCATGAACACAGCAAACCTTGAACAAGTGTGTGACATCTCAGCTGTTTTCATGCCATTTATTGACATGGAAGAGCAGCTGGGAGGATCACTCTTGGCTTTTAAATTGGAAAAAACAAAATTCAGAAGTGGAGACTTTTCTCAGTGTGTTGATGGCACTCAGAAGTAACTGAGTATCCGTTTCTTGTTTCTCAGATAATCACTAATCCGGTTACCAGCTGTGTTCTGTTCTTAAATTTAAACAAGAGGGCACCATAAAACCAAGATGTTGCTTTGCCAGCAAAATATTTATAAGAAGGTTTTCGGTTTCTGGCTGTAAATGAGAAGATACAAGAGAGAGGAGATTTTGATGAAAACCTGGCAAAGTAGTTTAGACTCTTGGTCTTCTCTTAAACTGTGTGATCAGAAAGGGTAACGTGCTGAGGGAAATTTTTGTTGTTGGATCAATTTAAGCACTTTTGCATTGCCAGAGCGTGGTTTCAGTTCCATCAGCTTTACCCTAGTGTTACTCTGTTGGCTTGACTGCCATCGTTTGTGATTTATGTTATTGTGAGATCAAGAGTCAGTCTCTGCCTTCAGGAAAGAGAATAAGGAAAATATAGAACTGTAGTTGCTAAAACTACCCGGCGTTTTGTTCTGAATACAGGAAAATGTAACAGGCTTCTGCAGGTGTTTTTGAAGAGTTAGCAGACTATTCTTTGTCACACGCTCAGATGTAACGGTCTTAATCACGGCGTATGGCTCTCCTAGCTGCCACGGGACATTTAGTATGTTCTAAAGGGTCTCTCTGTTGCCCTGTAAAAGCCGAATTTGCTTTTACAGCCATTACCCACAATGCAGTGGGAGGACAGCATTAATAACCATTTCATCGGGGCTGCAGAAATCTTTTGCACCTCTCCAGGGAAGAAGCAACTTTTCCCTCTATAAGTGGCCAAAGTGTTGCCTTTGGAAACTTTTGCTCTTGGGATCCAAATACTTTCTTGCCCTCACAACCTGTGCTACCTAATTGTTCTCCAGGGGAGCAAAAGCAGGCTGGTGGGTTGGGGTTTGGCTTGTCATTGTTCCTGGTTTTGTTTGAACATTCAAAGGCTGTAGGTATGTACGGTACTCAAACAGGGAAGACAGCAATTCTGGGTATTTAATGGGAGCGGTGGGAACGATGAAGTCTGAAGGAAAATCCCAGGAAGGATCATACAAAGGCTGTATGTGGAGTTGGGAAGGGTTGGGTCTGCTGCTCCCATACATGTGGTGCAGATGCTCTGCCCCGAACACCATTAAGGGCTGCATATGAACACAAAATGTTTTGCTGGTTCAACAAATCCCTTGGAAATGATCAGCCTGGGAATAAAGCAGGGTTTTGTTACAGAAAGTGAAGTGGTCTAGTAAAGTGCTTGCGCTACACTGTAAGTCTGTGTACAGTATGTCAGGGTATTTATGCCTTTTCCTACCTTGATACTGTAAGCTTGCTTTCAACTTGCTCAGCGGAAGGAACGTTCAAAGGTCAGCAATGAATGGTTTTGAAAAACCAAGTGGTGACCGCGTCTCCTCAAGCTTGGAGAGAAGAGTCACAGTTCATGCCGGTTTTAAATACTTCCCACATTGTCTTACAGTTTCTTTTGCTCATTCTTCTCCCCTTTTCCTATAAGAACTTTGTTTCTTCTTTATGAAAAAGGCATAGCTGATGCTTACAATTTATTTTTTTACATGTACTTTGCTCTCAGACAAAATTTGATGGAATTACTACTATAATAATGCATCATGTGCATGATCTTCAACACTAACATGGCAGCTTACCTCTCACTGGGAAATATTGCCTGGTGTGAGCAAGAATCAGGTCACTTGGTCAAAATGCCCAATTATAGGGTTTATACTTCACTTTTGGATCTCAATTTTGGCCTCTGAAGGTTGTAAAAATTCTAGATTTAATTAACTTCAATTAGAGGCCCTACTATCAATTTTACTGAAGTGCAGCTCCATTCAGGTCAGAAAGACAGTCCTGGTTCACAGCAGTACAAGGATGATGGAATTCAGGAGTGTTTCTGTATCCTATAAACCAGAGAGATGTTCAAGATTACCAGGTCTCAGAACAACTTTGGGTTGCTGATGAGCTTGTGTGGCACACCCCATTGTGTATGGGAAGTATAAAGTACAGGCATTAATCCGTATGGTTCCCAGCCCAAATCAACTGAAATACTGCTAATAATTAGGCTTTGGTTCCTCTCTGAATATTCCTTTAAAAGCTTCCCTTCCCCCATCTTTCTTTTTTTCTGTAGTTTCAATGCAGCAGCTGTAAGACTGAAAAACAGGATTTTTGAGGCTTTTTCCTAGTTCTTTCAGTGCTTCGCTCTCGTCTCTGCTCTCCTAAAACTGGGACTCAGATTTAGTCATGGCTATCTACCGTTAGGAATTTCTGTAGGTTGCCTGATCTGCTGAGCCCTGCTCTACGGTGCTGCCAAACTCAGTGGACAACCAAACAGAAAATCTGCCTTTGTCTCAGTCTCTCCATCTTTTAGAGGATAATGTGGGGGCTCATCTACCTCTCAAGAAACTCTGAGACTTCTTAATTATTAGAAATATGCTCTGTCTGAGATTAAAAGTGGGCATTCCCTAGATATCTTTTGATGAGGAAATGCAGGAATGTATGGAGGAAATGAGGAAATATTTCAGTGAGGTCCAAGATAGCCAGCATGTTCTGCAGGTTGTCTGTCAATGTTGAAGAGTGAGACCGCGTTACCCCGCATGCACAGCCAGTTCTGTAAACCGTGTTCCTATTTAAAAACGTTCGAGTGGAACAACCTTACTTTTTCATGTCACAACCAGCATCATATTCACATTTCAGCAGTGGGAAGGAAAAGATAAAAGACTTAATTCAGCTTTCACCATGCTGGAGATTTTCTCTGGCTCCACCTCTGCCCCTTCCTGTGTCCGCATTCCCAGTGTCTTTGAACTCTGCCTGCAATTCATTTTGGCGCTTGCCAAGATATCCCCAGCTAAGGGTGAGTTAAGGGTGAGAACATCTGGCCAGGAATGAGTGATGATGCTCGGTGACCCACCCACTCAGCACATCTGGTGGTCGTGGCCATGGACAGGGAACCTTACCGAGTGTTAGGGCTTCTGCAAGGAAAGAGGATTTTGTCATCTGGGGCTGGATTTATTGAAAATACCCAAATCCAATTGGTTATATAAAGGGACTTTCATGTCAATGGGAGAAGTGTCTATAAATAGGTGCGTGCGCGCAGGCATACACACTCGTTTACGTAATTACAGCTTACCGTCAGTGAGTGAGAATGTGGACTGCCTAAAAACTGTCGGTAACTAGTCCCAGCGGTCCTAAACTGGTTAACCATCAGGGCAAGCTGCAAAAGCTCTCACTCTCTTTGGTAAGGGCGTTTTGAAGGGGCGGAATGTACATCCTCTCTAAAGGGAGGAGAGGATGAAAAGTGTTCATGTGCTTGATTGGCAAAGTTCTGTTTTAAAATTATTATTTAAAACTGCTGGATTATTTTTGTCCTTCTACTGCTGAATTTACGTGTCCAGGCACTTATGCGAGCATCTTCTGGTATTATTTACATATAAATCAATAAATACCAACGGTCTGCTCTTGTTTTCTTTTGCTGGTAAAAAAAAAAAAAAGAAGATGGATTTTTCAGGCAGCACAATGAATCATCATTGAAAGGAAAACACTGGGCAAATTCTCTTTTGTTTAAGAGAATGGCCTGTACACAGTTCAGGCCAGCACATTTTTCATGGGATGCAAGGGAGCAGTTCAAAGAATTGGCAAGGAGTGGGTCCTGCATATTCATGAGACTGGGCAAGGAGGTGAAGGTACAGAGAAGGCAGAAAAGCAATGTGAGGATAGGGTGGAATGTGGAGCAAGTTACCACGGTATCCGATTTTACTGCTGTTTGACGTAAAGCTCTTTTGCTTTTACACAACCGCTGGAATTGAATGGAAGCAGCTCAGGGCATAAATAATGAATGTGTCTTTTACACCTTAAGAGAGGAGAGTCTGCACCTCATCACGGAGATAATGTGCCCCTCTCTTCTCTCCCCAGTCTCCAGCCTTCGTTCCCGAAGTCAGTCAAGATCTTATCCAACAGACAGAGGAGAAACTCGAAAACAGCCCCTGCAAAGAGCTATTCTCTCACTGTACAAAGTAAGTATAACTCGATACCCAGAGGTCGCAGAGCTGCAGTCAGCAGCTTGTAAGGAATGTGTCAGGTAAAGGCAGACATTTCAATTTGATCCCGAAGCATGTATCTTCGGTTTATGTTCATAATCCTAGAGGCATTGCTGACAAGCGGTGAAGTCATTTCATCTGAACAAAATATAATAAAGATTTCCGTGCCATTATATACACTACACACAGGCACTTAGTGTTTCAGGTATTTGACAGGGTGTTCTAGCCAAGTAAACCAGCCATGGATTTCATGCTGTGTGAAAAGAGCTACAATGATAATGTATCCAAAGAAAACATCTCTGTTTCAAAGTGAATAAAAATTAAGTGGCTATACAGTCCATTTAGACAGAGGAATGTGCAAACTTGCTCTGCATGGCTTTTCCAGAAAATCTTCAGCAAAAATGCTTTCTGTCTGTCTGTGGCGTTCAAACGAACGTGCATTATTTCATCCTTTGTCTGGGAAAAGGCTTATCAGTTTTTGTAGCAGTGAGACGATTTGTACCATTGTGTGCTAAAGCTCCAGGTATGCAATCGGCATTCGCAAACACTGACCCGAGTACATTCACGCCAGTAGATCATAAACCAATGAAAATATGAAAAGGAGGGATCATCGCAGGCTGGACCATGTGGTTTCTGGCTGAGCACGGTTTGTTTTCCCTGGGTGATGTAATGGGGATTTGTAAAAATTCGCTCCGCTGTCATTCATTGTTTTGACTCATTTCATTGACCTTTTCTGTTTTCAGTTATTCTTTGCATTGGTAGGAGACGTGGGTTATTTCTGGCCCTCTCTTATAACATAACCAGTTCCCTTGCATTGGCCTGGTGTCGTGTAGAGATGCTCGTATAACTCGCACCAGTTGTGTGTGCCAGTCCCAATGACAAAGGCAGAGCTGTGCCCGGCACAAACCCCCCTGATGCCTGTTTCCAGTTCTCAAATCGGTTTGAAAGCTGACAGTTCCTTCTAAAATGCACTTTGTTGTTGCCAAAGAGGGGAACTAAAAAGCAAACAAGTGGTGAAAGGCAGCTATTGTTCTTTAAAATACGTGCAGCTTTTAATTAACTGAATGGAATAGGCTGGCGTTGGACACCACTTCATTCAGGCTCGTATTCACCGTTTTCCATTCCTTCGCCTCAGCTGAAACGGATAAATGAGCTAGGTTTGAGACCTTGTTAATAAATATGCTGATCAGTTCACATGGACTGAAATGGGGTCAAAAGGAAGTTTTAAAAACTTGCTGTTGGTATTTACTAAATGTACTGAATAATGTTACTTTTGGAAGAGTTCACAGACCGAAAAAGGGAGGCACACATAGAAATATGAAGCTTGCTGTCCTGTAGGAGCAGGAACAGGGACGAGCTTCAGACACGTCGTCATAGATAAGATCAGTCTGCGGGGGAAACGCATGTACAACTCTAACTTCTGCTTTGACCTTTAATATTTTGACTGTCTGCTCCTGGCCCCCACTAATTTCCCCTATAATTTTGGCCATGGATTTGAGCATTTGTTAAACCTCAGTAAAACTTACTATTTTATTTTATTTTGTAAGCTTGAATCTCCGTAGGGGAAACAGTATGATCTGTGTCCAATCAAAGCTAATGAAGACAACAACAGTTTGGCTTCTGAATACTGAATATGTGCAATTACCTGCCTGTTCCAGATTGGTGCTGCAAGACCTAGTACCAAAAAACCTGAAACAGCTGAGACATTCCAAAAACTTCAGAAGAGTAGCTCATGAATGGGGAGGAGCTAAACTGAGGAGACATGTTATTCATGGCGAATTGTTTGCTCAGGTCTAGGAACTGCCCAAGGGTACGACATGGATTACCCATTCCCAAACCAGAGTATACCTTCAGAGAGGGTTGCTTCCTCCCGCAAAACGTACAGATGTACACCCCTAGACACAAACACAAAGTGTCTGTGTACACCAAGACACAAATGCTCATTTCCTGTGGGCATTTTTCACCCAAACCCAAGTTTTGTGCCCCCTGCAGAAGCAGGTGCCGTAGCCCCAGTAAACAAGGCAAGAACTAAAACCAGCAGATCAACAGCACCCTCTTAAAAGCGTGAGCACCTTCCTCTCAGGCAGCTCTCAGCTCAGCCCATCTTTCCTCAGCTCTGAACCCTTGGCCTTCCTTATGGCATGTCTCTCGCTCCCTGGCTGCTTGTTGCCTGTCACAAACAACGTATTTATTTCTCAGATTTGCAGATTGGCCTTTTTATTCCTTTATTCCTTTTATTATTTATTGTTTTGATTGCACTGAACTCTGTGTGAGGCACAGAATACTCGATCCGTAAACAAATCCACAGCCCTGTTTACACTTACTTTCCTCTGTTTTAGTCTACAAAGCACATAGCTTTTAGGAAAAGCCCTTTGACTTTAATCACAGTTACTACTTCTTCTATGTAGCAGGAATTGAAATTGATTTTTTTTTCTCAAAATAGCAACTCTGATGGTCTCTCTTTGACAGAAATGGGCTTCAGCCAGACATTTTCAGTCCAGGTGTAAACATCCCCCAAAGTTTAGGAGCTCAGTTCCTGAGCTTCCTAACAGAAGCAAAGATACGTGTTGCCTAGTGACTAACAGCCCTTTAGGAAGTCCACTGAAGCCAGTGGGGGACGCCCTGTTAAAATTACATATTACTATTCAGCCAGTACCAGTCCTCCTGTTATGAAATACGCCAAACATTTCACTTTGTTCCCAGATTGAATCTGTGAGTAGAATAAAGCACAAAATAAAGTAGAAGTAAAATGATCCTCCCGTATAAGAAGTCTGAATTTTCTCCTCTTGTTTTGTTCCTCTGTTGCTCCAAGTTCAGGATTATAAAATGCTTATATATCCTTTTCATCTGAGATAGATCTGTCCTTGACCACCTCAGTGGGGAACCATTCCAAGAATACCTAAGCAGCATGTACTTCGACAGGTTTCTCCAGTGGAAGTGGCTGGAAAGGTAAGTGTCCCTATTCTTTTTTTTTTAATTAAAAATGAATACAACAGGTTTTTCACTTTCCATGCAAAGCCTTTAGACTATGGTCAAAATCTAACAGCCGAGCTAGTATGTTTGCACCCTTTGCCTTCAAGATGAAGCCAGGTTAGCCTTCCTTCAGCATTATCATTAGGTATGATTAAAGTACAGTCAGCACTTTCACCTGTCTCTCTGTTTAGCTATGCTTTGAATATGGTAACTTCTATTGTCTGGACCAGTTATTACAATTATTACATCACTGTAAACAGACAAAAATACAGCATATAGGTCATCACATCATATTTATTTGCTATACATTTCTGAGCACATTTAATAACCAGGCAGCCTTAGTGGGTATTCATTTGCAAGGAAAGGGGCTGTTGCCTTCTCCTCGTTGGTGAGGGCTGTAGCAGACGTACACTGCTGGGTGACAGTGACCTTGAGCTGAGACAAATGGAATTAATTACGGCAGATGAGCTAGGGCCAGATCCTTGAGTGGTGTGTATCGGCACGATGCCTCGGAGATCAAAGGAGCTGTGCCAGTTCCTCTCCCTGGAAAGCTACAAAGCTGCTGCACAAGAGGGAAGGGAGGCGGTGGGCAGAGGGAAGAGCCATTTCATGCCAAGACGTGCTCCACATGCCATCGTTACTGAATCCAGCATCCACTCTTCCATTCCAATTAAAAAAACATCAGATGATTCATCTCTAGCCAGGCTATTTCCTATCTGTTTTCACACGTGGGATAAGGAATTTTCTCAAATGCTTTGAGGATTTCTTTTTTCCTTTCCCCCAACAAATGTGACAAGCTATTGGATGTGCCTATCCAGCTTAAAAAGCTGGGAGAACTGGTTTTAGGATTAGCAAAGAGATGTTAGTAGCATGGAGTGATCAACAGCTCCTTCTGACAGCCTGCTGTCTCCAGCGGAGGAGTCAAACAGTCTGTTTATTCCAGGGACATTGCTAGACATGTAGTTATCCCTGCTAATTGTCACTTTTAACCCCAACAGCATTTGCAGTATCTTCACAGAAGCCCGAAAATAGCATCTTTTCCTCTTCTAGTCTTGGCCTTCTGCATATTTTTCTTCCCCCACTTTTAAAAACAATAATGAACATAAATGAAACGATTCACTTTAACATGTATTCCTTATTGTCATCAATCTCATCGTCGCTGTTGTGGGAACAGCCACGTTATTGTGCTCCCTCTGCCGACTGGCTGCCCGCCAGAGGAAAACAAGGCTGGTAGGAAAATTCGTATCGACTGCTAATACAATTGTAAAACTTTGGTGATGGAGTGGTGGATACAAAATTGGATCTCTCTGAAACTAGGGTTCTTCTGTCACATTATAAAACTGATGATAACAAACGTGGTGGAAGTTCAGTGTCAGGCTGAGGCCCTTTTGGTAGAGCAGAATTTTGTGGGAGTCCTGTAAGATCATACAGTGATCGTGTCTAGTGATTCTTAGGGAGCACTCTGCCTCTGAAAGAAAGACAGGCTTGTTTAACCCTTCATTTGGCCCTTAAAAGGAAAGACAGGCTTTCCCTCCCATCTTGCCCGTAATGCTCCCCCAGGAGGCAGGTACCCCAGGGCTTGGAGCCCGGCTTCCTCCCCTCCTGTGAACAACACCTCAACCCACCTCTCCGGTTCCCGGGATTGTTTCTTTCCTTGTTTCACACCAGTTTCCTGGTTTGTTTAAGGTAAAAAAAACCAGAAATATTTTCTAGTGAATTGAATTTTGGATCTCTTTCTCAGCCTGAAGACCAAGCAAAGCAATAAAGCCCAGCACTACCCTTACGAAATTCCTATATATCATGAGCATTAATACCTTGTTGGAAGCTCTCAAGCTTTGCTTGACAAAGGCTAAGGCTATGTAACGGAGATTCAGAACCCTCCTTGCTCCTCGGATGCTAGCAGAAATTAGACTGGTGACTCACTAATGTGTTGTATTTTATTACATCTTAATATGCTGGAATTGAAAAGTTCAAGCCATACATAGTATTGAAGTAATGTAATTACATAATTATATATTGTATTATATAATACGATTACCTTGAAATAATGCATTTATAGAATATTTATCTATTTTGCTTTTCAAAAGTATGCTCTGAAATAAATAAATCACAGAGAGTGCATTAAATGTAGTGTGTCTCTCTTTTTTTTTTTATTTCCTTTTTTTCCAGGCAACCAGTAACGAAAAACACGTTTCGGCAGTACAGGGTACTGGGGAAAGGCGGCTTTGGGGAGGTGAGTAATTCTGAAAGTTTCTGTTAAGAGTGTTTCTTACTTCTCAGACACTGCAGGTTACAGCAGCCTGGTGCGACAGAGGCCGAGTTTCATTAATTGCTGACACTGTTACTTAACCCCTCACGCCACCGTAATGTCAAAAGAACACTTTTGAGAATTATTTTGTATCCGCCTGTTTTGTTCATCGTGGAATTAGGGTCACACCCTTATTTGTGTTTTACTGATGCCTCGAGGTGGCTGCCTAGGCAGGACAGGCTTTAGCTGAGCAGATTACAATCTGCGCAGACAAAAGGAGGTGGGATAGGAAGCAGGAGGAGGAAAGTGAAATAATTAAACCAGTATTACACACCAGGTTTGGAAACAGTAGTCGGTTCCCCAGCTGCCCCCGCCTATGCCGCCGTCTCTAACCTTAAAAGGACTAAATCAAATCAGCTCATGGGGAGTAAAGTGCAGCCCAGACACAGCGTTTGCTTCGACTTACCCAGCGATTGTTCTCTTTAATTTGCAGGTCTGCGCTTGCCAAGTCCGAGCGACAGGGAAGATGTACGCCTGCAAAAGATTAGAGAAGAAGAGAATAAAAAAGAGGAAAGGCGAATCCATGGCACTGAATGAAAAGCAGATTTTAGAAAAAGTCAATAGTCAGTTTGTAGTGAGTATCGAACTCCCTAGCGCTCAGCTCCCGTCTCACCTGCTGAGCACTCTCCCCTGTTGAATCACATGCCTCTTCCAAATCCTCCTGCAGGCAGGGTGCCAGCAGCAGGCTGCCTTCGCTTTGCACCTCAGTCCTGCTCCGTGCACCTTTGCCGAGACTCCTTGCAGTCTCCGGTGTTTGAGAAATGCACCAAGCAAGGTGCCTGTTTCTACCAGGGGAACATGATGCATTTTACAGCCTTGACTTGCAGCAGGGCTGCATCACGCTGAGCTATTTTTATCCAGCGTGATTACCTGAATTCCCAGTGTCTGGGAAAGAGGAGCTTGGAGGAGACTCAGCCCAGATAGATGGGAAGAGATTGGCTAGTCGGAGAATCTCGACAGTGACGTGGAGCTGGCCGTCTGACGTAGGGCTTTCCTGAGATCTGCCAGCTCTTGTGTCTCTTTAACTTGCTTTAGGTTTTTAAAAAAGGTGTCATTCTCTCAGCATCTGTCGTGTTCTTTGTACTTATTTTAGGAAACACTGTGAATACAACAGATGCAAAATGGTTACTGACTTCTGGCAGAAGCAGAGACAATGGCACATATCTGAAAGTGATGAGCATCTTTTGGCTTGTCTGGTTGTTCCTGAGGCACCCATTGGAGCCTCGCAAGGGTGATGCTGACCTTTGTGCCTCAGCGATGGTCCGTGTGACCACCGCAGGACTGGGCTATCTGGGCCCTCCTGGAGACCCACTGAGCAGAGAGGGCTTGACAGCTATCCAGCAAAACAGTGCAGCAGAACACGTAGATTGCCTTGATTATTGAGATTTCTCTTATTTGGAAAAGTATGCCTGGAATTATATATGTTTGGCGAGCTGGTGAAGCTCTCCGAGCATTAACCTTCAGGTTTTCTGAAGATCACAGAATCATAGACTGGTTTGGGTTGGAAGGGCCCTTAAACCCCATCCAGTTCCAACCCCCCTGCCATGGGCAGGGACACCTTCCACTAGACCAGGTTGCTCCAAGCCTCATCCAGCCTGGCCTTGGACACTCCCAGGGATGGGCCATCCACAGCTTCTCTGTGCAACCTGTCCCAGTGCCTCCCCACCCTCTCTGGGAAGAACTTCTTCCTGATATCCAATCTAAACCTCCCCACTTTCAATTTAAACCCGTTACCCCTTGTCCTGTCACTACAGGCCCTTGTCAAAAGTCCCCCCCAGCTTCCTTGTAGCCCCTTCAGGCACTGGAAGGCTGCAATGAGGTCTCCCCGGAGCCTTCTCTTCTCCAGGCTGAACAAAAATTAATCTATAAAACCCTAACGTCTGATTTTTCTGTACTTTTAAAATGCATGTTTGCTACTGTAACAGGGCCCATCTCAAATTCAGTCAATGTATTTTTTTCCTTTTCTGCAGAAAATCTTTAATGAAATGTTAGTCCTTTAGCAGCTAACTGAACTGTTACAACTATGCCACAAATATTTTTCTAGGTCAATTTAGCCTATGCCTATGAAACAAAGGATGCACTGTGCTTAGTTCTGACCATAATGAATGGAGGTGACCTGAAGTTTCATATCTACAACATGGGAAACCCAGGCTTTGAGGAGGAAAGAGCTTTGTTTTATGCAGCAGAGATTCTTTGTGGCTTAGAAGACCTACACAGAGAAAATACTGTGTACAGGTAAGCACTCTCTAGACTCTTAGGACACCTTTCCTGGGTGGAATTGCGTGCAGCCTCTCCACTCGTTGAGTGCCATCCAGTTTAGATGCCTCAGTGCTCTGGCTGAAATTTTGCAGAGCCATGTGTGAATACAGTATGAATCGGTAATAATGGAAGGAAGCAGTTGCTTCACTAAATACATCCTGTCTAAATGACACAGAACCAACACAAAAGTCCCCAAACCCTACCTCAGCGTGCACTGGGTGACATAAGAAAACAATCAAAGTTCCTTTAAAGGGATTTCATTAAGGTACAAAGTGGAGATCATTCTATTCACGACTCCATTTTAATTGGTTAGGTTATATGGCTTTAGGGGCAGCCGCACGTCAGATATGGAGAAAACATCTATCCCAGAGGGAGTGCAATTAGAGCAAGAGGGTGTTTGAGACACAGGGCATGCCTTCCCGCTCTAGGACACGAACTAGTTTGATTAGCCAGATCAGATCGTGGTGCGACGGAGGTGTCCCAGCAGCATCCCACCAGCTTCGGGTGCAGCCAGCAGGCAGGGCGCTGCCTGGCATGGGGACAGGCAGCCAGCCTCCACAAGGACAGATTTCAGCTTCTCAGCTCCCAGTCCGGCTTACAGCTCTATGCAGCCCTTTTCCAGGACATCATGGGGTTGACTTGCTGGATAGGCAGACTGATTGGAGACGGAGTCCTTGTGGCTCTGTGAGGATTTATTTCTTTAATCAACGACCAGTGTAGTTGTAAACAGCATTTAATGTTTGACTTCATCATCCCAGCTTGTGAAATCGTCGCTGCTGGCATTCACAGCAGCAGAAGTCCTGTATATTGTTGAAAGAACTTCCAAGGTCAATGAATAATAGACAATAATATGGTATTTTTAAAAACTAAGCCACACTTTCAATCATTTGCTATGCTCATGTATAATAAGCATTATGCATATGCTTGTATGCATAGAAATGACGATACTGTGGTCCCTTGGAGGAGATCTCCAGCAAACTGCCACTGGGTTGCCTCACTGACTCAATCTTGCTAGCTGGCACAAGGAGGGCCGGCAGGTAACACGTGGCTTTAGTTGGCGCTGGCCCAAGAAGGAGATACTTTTTTCCAAGGAACAAAATGGAGTTAAGGATTTAATGTCAACTGAAAAATCAAATCATGAGTGACGTGTCTGTCTTTCCCTTTCTTTAAAAAGCATCCTACCGCATTTAAAAAAGGTTTGGGAGGTATTGTAGGCTTCCTTTAAAAAGTATTAGATCCCAAGTAGACTTTATTGATGAAAATGACTGGCACGTTCATAACGTGGCTGGTAAAATGCCATACTAATGCCACTTCCTAATAAAACAGATCACATCTGGCCACCTAAAATAGCACTTGGCTCTGAAAGAAATGGCATCCTACTTCCTTAAGCAGTTGTTTCCCGTTATTCTTAAAAGAGCTGCTAGTTTGCAACTCAGATGGCACGTTCGTTTTGGTGACGGATATTTGGTGATATTATATCCTGGTAGGTGACATGTTCTAGCAGTATTTTAGGATCATCTGCAGACACCCCTAATTTGTAATACCGCAGCATTTTGAGACCCGTGAGGAGTGCTATATAGGCCAATAAAATACAGCAGCTAAATGCTACCGCTTTCTCAAGGTGAATAATTCAGTGCAAAACACTTATTCCTCAGACTGGATTTTATTTGCTATGAACAGAATGCTTCTGAGTAAAACACAGCATCGGAAAATACATCCCCATCTCCTGGGACGGTGACACACACTGTGGACACGCCCCGAGAGAACAACCAGGCCAGGTTTCAGGCTCACAGTCAGTTTTATCTAATTCAGATTCCCTTGCCAAACACGGTGCTTACGTAACATTTCTCAACTGCACCATGTCAGTAAAGGTCAACAGGTCGATTGTTCATGGAAAGCAAACATAAAATGCTGCTGGTTCTCCTCAAATTATTTGTGTATATATAAGACCATACTTTTTCCTCCTTTTTTAATGTATTATATATATATAAAAATCATTCATATATAGTATAGCTGTGCCTGGAAGCTCCAGTCAGCATCAAGATACATTGTCCTAGGCATTACACAAATATATGGTAAAGCCTTGTCCACTGTGATTAATGTAGTTGTTTATGCTGTCCTGCACAGGCAAACAATGTACCGTTGCCTTTCCAGCACAGGCACAGTGCCAGCAGTTTATGTTTCAGCAGATTTAGGGAAAGCTACTTTACATATGAGAAGCTGTAGCACTGGGAAGCATCGTGTGACTGTGTCCACCGGGGAGTCTTATTCCTCCTAGACATTTCAGTGCAAAAATCACACTCCTCCTTGGCACCTGGAAGGGTTGGCCATGCAAAGGAAGCCAGCCTTGATCCTGAGGAACCAGAAACCTGAAAACAGAAATGCCAGCTGGTGTCCGGGGCGAAGGAGAGCCTGCTCCGATGGCCCTAAATCACAGAGGACTCTAAGGACCAAACTGCTGTTCTCAGACTCCTTCTGGACTCTCTCATTTTCTCATTCAAAGGCAACATTTCCCAACTTCCATGCAGGATTTCTTGTCATTTGGCCACAGTTGCAGCTTTAAGTGCGACTAGTAACTGCTGGAGTGGAAGATGAAGTAACTAATGAAGTCTGAGTCCTTCAAGGGAATAGTTCTTAAGGGATCCAGAATAAATTTGTTAAAATAAATAGGAAATGCCCTTGACCGTGTTGCTCCAGCACTGGAAACCTTCTGCTGATAGGCCGGGAAAGCCCACGCTGGTATGTTAAACAAAATCACCGTTTCTCCTCAGCATTCAGCTGCCCTTCCCTTGTTTCAGCATTGTTTATTTGGAAAGCAGGCTCGGTACCCCCGGGCACCCAGTGAGGTTTATCTTGAGAGGTCAGGAGGGTCTGAAGCAAACAAGAGGAGGAGGTTGTTCACAGCGCTCTGTGTTCTTGCTTGACATAAATAAAAACAAGACAAGTTTTGAAATTTTAATCTCAGCATTGTCAAAACTATAAAACATCCCTCTCGGTTCACAGGAAAATTCACCACGCTGACGTGCAGCTTGAAACGTGGGGCGGGCCCCTGCGCAGGCTGTGCGAGGCACGGCTCTCCTGGGGCGAGGCCGTCTCCTGTATGGCCCCCCCTCTTTGCTCGCGTCTTGCTGGGAAGCTAACAGAATCAAGCTGCTTCGCAAATGCAGGAAGGCCTTAAGAAAAGAGGAGGCCAAGCACTGTTTGGATTTGCGTCAGGCTAAATGCT